CATTGAAATGTATTGAGTCGGCTTCAATACATTCCAATATAGGAAACATTGTTTCACTCAACGATGTTTCCTATGGGGATTTTCACTGAACGATGGCAATCCGTTCCAATTGGAACGGATTAACCGGTTTTCAATGCATTCCTATGGGAAATGGTGCTTCACAGAACGATGTTTTCACACAACGTTGATTTTTTTGGAACCAAATAACATCGTTGTGTGAGGAACCACTGTAAAGTGGTCTCCAGGTAGTATTTCATTAATTTAGTCATTCATTCCATTGAGTGATGTAAATGTTAGAAAAAAGGTATAATATTAGGGTTTGAAGAACTTCGTTAGAAAGTATGTGCAAGCATACAAAAAGGCTTATAAGCAATCTGAGTGCAAAATTCTAACAATTTCAACTCATTTTAATATTAAGTCTTATTGTGTCAGTAGTATCTTTGTTCATGTTGGATGAGAGAAAGCTTATAAAATTATACTTTTACTCATTTTTATACTGGTATATTTTGTGAATGTATGAAGAAATTCTTATTATGAAAAATCCTCAACAAAAATCTTTTCTTCAGAGGTTTTGGAGTCACTTTGTGGAAAGCAACACCTTGAAAATCTTTTGGATGGGAATTATACCATATGAATAAATGAAGGAAAACAAAGAAAACTCCAGCCCTTCTGTAGCTTCGGCAAATCCAGACCACACAAAGCCATGCTGGTACTGGGATAAGAAAGATTTGGCTCATACACCATCACAGTTAGAAGGACTTGATCCAGCCACCGAGGCAAGATACCGCAGAGAAGGTGCCCGGTTCATATTCGATGTAGGAACCCGTTTGGGATTGTATCCTTTGAGTTTCTGTGTTGTGTGGGTTGTTAGATTTTCCTCATTTTAAAATTAAGATTGTTCAACCAAAATCCTGGTCTTTTTTCTTTTCTTGTTTTGCATCCAGGCATGCAGCTGGCATCTCATTCATTAACCTCAGTTAACTGCAGATACTTTCATGATGGCACTGCAGTGCACACATGCATAGAAATCTACTTCAGTCCTAGGAATGGTTTAATAAAACATTTAATTGTGTTTTGGCATTTAGTAATTGTGTGTGTGTGTCTTGTGCTGTCAAATCGGAACTGATATATAGCAACCCTAATAGGGCTTTCAAGATGAGTGAGATATTTAAAGAGTGGTTTCACCAGTTCTGCTCCCCTAAGTGAGCTTCCAGTAGGTATTTGAGCCCTGTTCTCCGGAGTCTTAGTCCATCACTCTATCTATTACACTGCATTGAAAATTCACATGTAATAATTTATAACCATTCTTTATTTTCCCAGTTTTAACAAGGATTGTGTAATTTTAATTTCTCTTTTGGTTAATAGAAAATATTTTTTTATATTTATTCCTATTTATCTAAAACCTGGTTAGTTGTACCGTACTCATACAGAATATCTTAGTTTAGCCATTTACAGTAAGCTGGAATTACTTCCAGTTAATGTTTACATTTATAACAAATGTATCAACAAGGATTTTCCAAAAGGTTGTTTGAAGACATTAAAGTAAAATATTGGCAGGAAATCTGACAAGTGCCAGCTTATTTTGTTTCTGTTTTTCAGTGTTTCTCATTTGTGGTCTTTGTAATGATTTGCTTTATTAATTTCACTTTTCAATTTACATGCCATATTCCTATATCAAAATTAAAGCTCTATTTCACAAGCCTTATTTATTTTTTTGAACCTCATCAAAAATAATGAGACAGCAATGGCAAGTTCAGAATTTTGTTTAAGGGCTTTTGCATCTGGATAACTATATATTTTTGTGGTATCAGAGACCCTGATAATGTATCAGTATTTGTCATTTAAGGCAGCAGTTGACATTTCATTTTAATAAAATACCTTATAAAGTGGCTGTATGAGACTGTTGAAGTGGACATGAATAATTATTGCCTTGTTTAGGGGAACATAGGAATTCAACAAAATAAAGTGTACTGTATCACTCCATATTCAGTGTTTTGGAGTAGACTGCTCAATGGCAAGTCTGTGTCTGCTGCTGTCCACCAGCATTATTAATAATGTGCTGCCAGGTCATTTTTGAGTTATAGCGACGCTTTTCAGGGTTTTCTAGGTAGACAGTACTAAGAAGTAGTTTATCATTCCCTTTTTCTGGGGACGTCCTGGGACTGTGCAGCTCGCCCAAGGCCACAATTCCTCACTGTGGGATATGCAGTGAGGAATTTAACTCCTAACCTCTAGCTCCACAACCAGACACCTAAATTGAGATACTTAAAACTCAGTTCTGAGTCATTATTTATAGCAAAGGCAATACTACATTTTTTGAAACTAAATGCTCCATAAACTGGAAATGGCATTTGATATTGATCATTATAAACACATTTGATATCTTTTAAGACCTTACCTTATGATCCAGACATTATGATACATTGGCAACTGGGATAATATACTTTCACCGATTTTATATGTTCCATTCCTTCAAACAGTTCCCAAGATATGTAAGTAGAAGTCTGTTTCTTTTGCACAGAATACGTTATTTTGATCTGTGGTGCCTTTATACATTTGACAAAGGAAGACATGTTAGGTATGTTGTTCTAAGAGGAAATACAATTTAGGAGCAGTCATGGAGAAAAAGGAATACTGTAAATGGCAAAGGACTGTGCAATTATTTTAGATACATTTTCTTAGTTATGACAGGATATGTGGGAGTTCCAAAGGCATAATATAAAAGATGATGAATCAAGAGTTTGGAAGGATTTGGTTTATGTGTTTCTGTTTCCACTGGTGAATATAGACACTGGTCATTTTTGGACAAGAATGGTAGCAGATTCTAGAGAGTCTCCTGACTCATCACAAACATCATGCTAGTGCATCAACCTGGTTTGTTCTTGCTTGGCTATTCCTAACTAACTAGGAATCCAAAACTCGATCTGTTTCAAGACCCATAGTTCTTGGCTTGGGACTTCTGAATAAGACAAGATTTGTAATCCAGTTTGAATAACATGCTAGGGGTTTGAATCTGGTTTAATTAGGCACACAGGAACAAATGGTCTCAGGTGCCAGTGTACAGCTGCTTCATAGCAAGCTTTGGTTCTCCAGAATTTTAGCTTACCATTGCACCTGAAAGTGGCTGTTGTGTTTCTCCTTTGATCATGACACAAGTCACTACATTTGAAGAAGTCTGTTAATTGCACAAATTAAATTTCTGTGAATAAAACAGAGTGTGATAAGCTGGCTCCCGTTGTTACACCTAGGTGCCAGTAGATGGGGCAAAATGATTTATGTAGACTCAGAGGCACAGATTTTGGCAAGATCTAATACAGTAATTGAAATAGAATATTGAAATAAGTCAGGGTGGGCAAATTCTGAGTAGTCAGAGGACAAGTTTAAGCCTCGCTTTGCCCCCAGGGGCTGCGTCAGACCTGGAGATGGCAGAGATCTGATTTTTTAAAAAATAAATGCCAGATGGACACTTCCTGTTTTTTTTGGGGGGGGGGGTTCCAAGCCATAGTAGCAGAAGCTGTTGCTCCTATGAACTTATATTAGACAAAATTAAAATTTCTTTAAAAATATAATTTTTCGTTAACTTAAGGGAATCTTGAAAGCTCCCTTTGGAGTCACAAAAATGCCCACTTTATCCAGTCTATTTTTATCCGTAATAAATTTTATTCTGTTGTTTTCATCTCAAGGCTTGAGCCCATTAAGAACATTTAGAATTTTGTTTTTGTCTTCCAAAGAATTTGATAAAGGAAAAATGAATGTGAAGATTAATTTAAATTCAACATGAGTTTGTGACTGAAATCTTATTGCTGATTTGCATGTATGTAAGTGAAATTTTGTGAGCCAGAACAATGAATTGCTACTAATAAACAACGTGCTAGTTGCTTTCCTGGTTGTGTGCAAGGTATACAGCCTGGAATGTAACCAGGACTTTATTAATTTGTGTCAGTTTGCCCCCAAAAACATGCAGTTTGAGTCACACATATATAAATCTGCAGTAGGATTCTGACCAGTGTGTTTGCATTTGGATCCCCATTTTTCATCATTGACATGCATTGAAATGACTGAAGTTCAATAAAATGTACTTGTAAAGTTTCCAAAATACAGTCATGATAGATATTTTAAGGTAAAATATATGCCTCTGTGTTGTGTATACATACCAGCCAATATTCTATTCTGTTTGAACCTGTAGGTTCCTGTGTTTGACACATTGTCCTTTGTGTCACAGATCTTGCACTGTTTGGAAAGTTGCCACATGGCAAAAATTTCAGCATGTTTATAGATTTTCTTTAAGAATTCTGCCTGCTGCTCTTTGTGGGGGTAGATAATAGTTATTTTCCTAGACAGTACAGGTTAATTACCTTTTAATTGTGTATGTAGAGAACTTCCTCCTTTTTTTTACAGGTGACTGGAGCTTGCTGTCTCTTTCTAGCTGGAAAGGTTGAAGAAACACCCAAAAAATGTAAAGATATCATCAAAACAGCTCGTAGTTTACTAAGCGATGTGCAGTTTGGTCAATTTGGAGATGATCCAAAGGTAAACTGACACGTGCTAACAGTTCTTTCACTGAAATTGTCAGTGGTGGAACCCTAAAAAGCTGTTTAGCTCAAGATTTCTGTGCTGTTTCTGGAGGAATGCAGATACAATTAGAAATAAATGTAAAATAGAATAACAAATACATTACTTTGGACAAAATATTGGCGGCATAATTGCTTCAGCATTAACTAAGAGACATTGGAATTGTAGGGCTTATTTAGACTGTATTTTCATGATATGTTATTTTGAAAGGTGATGTGTATAGCAGTGCTTGTGTGTTGTTCTGTTGCATTTGCCTGTCTTTTCAGCAAAGAAATAACCCACTGCACAGGGGAAGCAGTGAAACTGGCCACACAGAGTGCAGCCATATGCATACAGTAAGCAAATTGGAAAAAATAAACTTTTGTCACTTGTTTTTTTTCTTTGTTATAGCAATGATAGGCATTTTCTTAGCCACAAAGTCTTCAGAGAACTCAGTTGCAAAGGCATTTTTTTTACCAAATTAATATATAGAAAGTATTGCAAGTTAATTCAGATATAACATTTCATTGGCTTGTATCTACATAATGTATTGCACAAGTACATGCCATGAGATTGTTTGGCACATTATTTTTCAGTAGTTTGGATGCTTTGAAGGTTCTGAACACTTTGTGAGCAGTTCCCATAAAAGTCATTGTGGTTGTCTGTTCTTGTTTAAATTGCTGTAGATCCAAGGTTTTAGTTAGTGTTTGTGCACTGAGATAACCAGGATGGGAAGAACAAAATCCATCCTTGATCCACTGTGCCAAGGATGTGATTTACTCCTGGTTGCTGGAATTCTGTTTTTACACTGAGAATCCCCTCTCACAGTCTTGGCTGCACAATTAAAGAAAACAAGTGCACAGTTCTACTTCTCCCATCCCTCCATTGCTGTAGATGGTTGTCTAGCTTTGTCAGGATTAATGACAGACTGGAGGAAGATGTCCTGCTAAGCTTGCACAAAAGATAAAGGAGGAATAAAGGGAGTATTGTCAATGTCAAAAGCATGCCATTATGACTGAACTTTTATTTTGGCTGTTGGAATTCATCCTGCTACAACTAAATATAAGCCACTCTTTACTTTTAGCATGTTGCATTTGACTGCACAGGTGTGCAGTTTCACTCTTTCCCCAGAACTGTGCAGCATTATTATACATCCCCCCTACCCACCCCAAAATGTGGTTGTACAGCAAAGCTCAGCAATCAGATTTGCCACTAAGAGCAGTATTTCAGGTTGCAAGGAAAATAACCTCTTTTTGCTTTGTGATCCATACTTTACCTGCTTCTTCTGTCTCTGAGCTTAGCCCTTGGTGAGACTGTGCCGGAAGCCTCAAATATCTTTTTACCAGAAGGGAAGCAGAAGTAACCTGGGACTTCTGCTTGAGAGTATTTCCTTGTGTTCTCCTACTTGTGGATCTCACAAGCTGTTAGGCCATAGTGGCTCCAAGAGTAGAATACTGAGAGAAAATTGAAGGGTTGCTGTTGCTGAGTGTTGTTGTATATAAAAAAACTAGTAGTTTTATATGTACATCTACTTTTATTTAGATGTTTAAGACAACTTTCCGTTTTGTTTCTTAACTAGATAAGGTTATTGCAGGCAAATCCAATATTTGGAAATAACTCTAGATATAGTTTCTTTTGGTATTCTTTTGTAACACCATATGAACTTTTGTAAAATGTAAAGAGAGTGATTTTGAATTAATATACTCTTTGCTCTCTTATGGAATTCAGGAAGAAGTTATGGTTTTAGAAAGAATCTTACTGCAGACAATAAAATTTGACCTGCAAGTGGAACATCCTTACCAATTTCTGCTAAAATATGCTAAGCAACTCAAAGGTATGAAAAAAAGGTGCATTACTAAATATTACTGTGGGGGGTCAATATTGTATTTGCATCATCAGTTTTGTTACCTATTTGTGCAGTTTTAATAGGGATACATAATTTTTGATTTGGTTCTTGGCAGAATCTGTTACACAACCACTGACCTATCAAGCCCTCATTACTCATCTTTTTCTGAGAAAAGCTAAGCAGAAGAAGGATCATGCCTTGTATTGGTTCTCATTACTTGAAAATACCATGGCGGGCAGCGTACGCCACCTGACCCTGCTGTCTAAAGGCGCATAATGCTTCTTGAGTCCAGTATGTTCCCTACTTGGTGTTTCCCAGGAGAAAGGGTAGAGGAAGATAGACTTCTGTACTCCACATCTTTCATTCTTCTGCCAGGACAGGGAAGGTCAACATGGCTAACTGGTGTCAGTTTTGCCCTGTGTGGTCAGTGTTCTTCACCTTGGCTAAGGTTCACTGTGTAACTACCCAGATGAAACCCACACACCTCTTTAAAGGAGGAGGTTTGGCCACTTGTCACTCTTGCCAGTGGTTGGTGACAAAGCTAACTGAAATTATAAGAAGTTCATTGCAAATGTGTATGATTATATTCTGAGAATGCATGCATTGTTTTAATACAGAATTCCCCCACATTTTCAATAGGTGATAAGAACAAAATTCAGAAACTTGTTCAGATGGCATGGACATTTGTAAACGACAGGTAAGAAAGATCTCCCTGTAATCATAATGTTAATTTCAACTGAAAAAAATAATTCTGGTTTGTAATTTGAATACTTATTTGAAATTCTGGTGATCTTTTCTTGGCCTTTTCAAGACTATATTTTTAAAGCTCATTATTGAGATTATTAGGGAATCCTGTTCTGCATCTTTGTCCACAGATTGTGTAAATGCTTTGAAATGTATAAACGTTTTGAAATGAAGCCTTAGTTATGTATTAGAACGTGGGATGTATGGAAAAGCAACATGAGTGCAATGTGAGCATCTTGACACAGTAGCAGAACGTATTATTATACAGTGGTGCATCGCATACCAACATGAGTGCAATGTGAGCATCTTGACAGATGAGTAGCAGAACGTATTATTGTACAGTGGTGCATCGCATACCGACAATAATCAGTGTAGCAAAAATCGCTGCAAAGCGATTTCATCGCTATGTGATATTAAAAAACCCATAGGAATGCATTGAAACCCCTTCAATGCATTCTTATGGCTTTAGACTCACCTTTAACCGAAAATCCTTCATACGGTGGCCATTTTCGCTGCCCAGTAAGCGAGGAATCCGTCCCAGAAAACAGCAGGTGGCCATTTTTTTTTACCCGGCGGCCATTTTGTAGCCGCCGATCAGCTGTTAAAAAATCATCGCTTTGCGATGATCGGTAAGCGAAATGGTGCCGATCATCGCAAAGCGATTTTCCCCCATCGGGAACATCGCAAAGCGATCGCAAAAAGTTAATTGCTATGCAATTTCATCGTTAAACGGGGCACCCGTTAAGCGAGGCACCACTGTACTTTCTATTTTTAACAGTGTGCACCCTTGATGGGAAAAGTCAGTCAACTGTGCAATCTGTTACCCCATATTTGACACAGAAAACAATGTGACGTGTGTGTGTGTGTGTGTGTGTGTGTGTGTGTGTGTGTAACAATCTGATAAGTTAGCACCTAGGAGCAGTCTGTTTTTTCCATAACTAACCTCATTAAGTTGTTGTATGAGGATCTTCAGGTTGAGTTACATTTTTAGGGGTTGTTTTGGTTACTATTTTTATGTATCATTATTCTACTAAATAATACAAGACAATTTACATATAATAATAATTTTCATGAAGATATCAAGTGAGAAATCCTGCTAATGTTACTGTTGGCATCTTTGTCTTTGTTTTTCCCCTAGTCTCTGCACTACCCTGTCACTGCAGTGGGAACCTGAAATTATAGCTGTTGCAGTGATGTACCTGGCTGGCCGCTTGTGCAAGTTTGAGATCCAGGAATGGACATCAAAGCCAATGTACAGAAGGTGGTGGGAACAGTTTGTGCAAGATGTACCTGTTGATGTCCTGGAAGGTACTGGAAACTTTTGCTGCCCAACGTTTTTGTCTGATTTATTCTCTAGATCACCCATTCTCAATGGGGTCCAAAAAGAACTCCCAGTCCCATAATTCACTAAGAACTGCCATCTCTGGCCAAATTATGGGACCGGCAGCCATCAGAACAATAGGAGGTAGAGTATCCCTCTTACCTTCATGCCATTTCCACACTGCTTCTATGGGCTCTTTGAAAGTGCCCCAGGCACTTTTGAAAGTCCCTGTGAATTGCAAAGCTGCATGGGGAAATAAGTTCTGATAAGAAGTTGCCTTCATAAAGAGTATGTGCTTTTCAGGTGGCACAAAGAAGCAGCAGGGGGTGGTGGAGGTGGAGGACTTAGAGATAGGAGGACTGCTCTGTCTCCTGCCGTTTAATGGTTTCTAGTTCCATAATTCAGCATGAGGGTTCCCACCAAATAATGGGACTGGGTGTTCATTTTCTCCAAAAATCCCATCCCTGCTACTGCTCCCAGCTTTTGTAGTCTGCTAGCTCGGTTCTTAAACCAAGTCCTTCTACATTTGTTGAGGAATGATCTGATACATAGATTTGGCTGCTTTGTACATAAACCCAAAGATTGCCACATTCCACCCTGAGCACACCAGACTCATCTGACTTCTGAAGTGTAGCGAGGTCAGGTCTGGTTAGAATTTGGATGGGAGACCATATCACCAGGGGTTACCATGGATGGTCACCTTGGGCTGAAGGATAGAAAAGAATCTTGTCTGAAATTCTGGAGAAAACTGTTGCTGGTTAGAGTTACAGATCTGGATTTGATGGACTGATGTTTTGATTTAGTACAAGAAAGCTGCCTGTTTTACTGTAATAGCTCACTGGTTTTGGAGATTTGCTGAATATTGGCTTGTGGTTCTGAACTAATCTTTTCCCACAATAAGCTGATTTGCTAGCCAGTTCTAAACTATATTTTTAATTTATACAGTATATGAATTCTGGCATGTTTAAACTATAGGCTGTTATATCTGGAAGGACAAGTAAAAAAAAACAGTTCAGAAACTGAGAAAAAAACCTGGCCAGTTTGGTCATCTATGGAACAATACATGGCTTCAATATAAACCATGGCTTGGGGCGACTTAGAAACATGGCCCACCGTCCCAATGTATTATTCTTGGTTTCATCACCCATTCTGACATTGTTCTGTGTGAGAGAATGTGGAATATGGTGCATTATCATATGTAATAGAGATTATTAATTTTTTTTACTAATTTGAAGCTGACCAAGGCAGCTTATTTTGAACTTGGTGGCATTTAACAAAGAATTGCAGAAAATGCATTTCATATGATTTTGCACACAGCTTTCAAAATCTTAGCTGTCGATTGGAATGTTTAACCCATGGTTTGTACTTCTTTTTTGAAAGACATCTGTCACCAGATCCTGGATCTGTACTCGCAGGGGAAGCAGCAGATGCCTCATCATACCCCTCATCAGTTGCAGCAGCCTCCGTCCCTTCAGTCTACGCCTCAGCCGCCACCACCTCAGCCCTCTCAGCCCTCTCAGAGCTCAGAGCCACCACAACCCCAACAGCCTAAAGAACCCCCACAGGCGGCAGGGCAGCAGCAACAGCCACCACAGCCGCCACAAAGTCAGCCCTCTAAAAAACCATCTCCTCAGTCAAGTCCTCCCAGGCAGACAAAACGACCAGCGGTAAGAATAATAAAAGAATTGCTTGCATCACATTGGTCCTGCTTTTCTTGGAATGTCTTTATTTGCTGCTTCAGAAAGTAGCTAGTTTTAGCTGTGCAAATGAACTCCTTGCCACAGAAATGGGACGGGTATATTATTTGTCTGTTTAAGATACAAAGAGCCGTGTGGCACAGAGGTTAAACTGCTGTATTCTAGCCAAACTATGTTCACAACCTGAGGTTCAATCCCCGATAACCAGCTGAAGGGTCACTCAGTCTTCCATCCTTCTGAGGTCAGTAAAATGAGTACCCAACTTGCTTGGGGAGTCAATGTGTAGCCTGCATAATTAACTTGTAAAATGCCCAGAGAGTGCTTTAAGGGCTATGAAGTGTTATATAAACAGAAGGCTTTTTTGTTTATGTCAGTTGAGCTTAGGTCAGTGGAAGAACATGTGGCTCTCCAGGGGCTGCTAGGCTCCTAACTCCCATCCTGTTTGCAAACTCACCGTTTTGGCTGTTGGGATTTGGGAGTCCAGCAGCATCTATAATCCAACATGTTCCCCCTAACATTAGAACCTGACCTTTAGAAACAATCAGCTTTATGTTAAACTATGTGTGATTCTTCTGTAACTCCCAACATTTGATGTCAAGGTATACAATTTAATGTTTCTTTTTACAAGTGTGATTTGAATGTTTGATTTGAATTTCTTTCTCCCAATAATAGGCAATATCACCAAAGGAGGAAACGAAGACTGCAGGTAAAATATCCTTTTCCTCTTGTTTTATAATGAATTTATTTGGTATGATAAAAATATAGTTATTTGCAGTGCCCTGCTGTGCATGTATACTCAGAAGTAAGCCTTATTGATCCGTGAACAGTATTGCATTATTCAGTTTTCCTGAAGGAATCTTTTTAGCAAAAAAAGTGGCAATCTTATTGTCTCTGCTCTGTTTTCAGAAGCACCTCCTTCTAAGGTTGCTAAAATCGAACCTGCTCATCCCCCTGTACCCCCTGTGCATCCACCATCTGGTAAGTTGTACCAGGAGCTAGCAAATTAATATGATTTTATTTAAGACACTAAATATATGTTTGTGAATAACCCCTCAAACGTCAGCTTTGACTTGGCCTGCCTTGTAGACACGGTGTATTCCACTTCCTCCCTCGGTGTAATCCTTAAATACTTTTAAGACATTCCTGCCTCTTCTGCAAATGAAATAACTACCTTGTTTCCCTGAAAATAAGACAGGGTCTTATATTATTTTTTGCTCCAAAAATGCATTAGGGCTTATTTTCAGGGGATATCTTTTTTTTTCATGTACAATAATCTACATTTATTCAAATACAGCCATGTCATCACCTGTTTGCTGCACAAGGGTGGAGGGTGGGGTTTTACTTAACTAGGGCTATATTTGGGGGTAGGGCTTATATTACAAGCATCGTAAAAAATCCTACTAGGGTTTATTTTCAGATGGTACATTTAAGTTGGGAAGCCTTTCACCATTCAGTATTATGATCATAGGTCACCCATGTTAGCTTGAAATACAGTTACATAGCATATAATATTTACAATCAAAACAAAGCAGACTGAAATACAGATTATAATTAAGTGTGAGTTTCTAATCTAGTTACTGCCATTTTTTAGTCGTCTCTTGTATTATTGTCCAAGTCTCTGCACAGAATTTAGCAACCTTGGCTGTGGTTTCATTTGAGGAATCAGAGGGGAGAAAAGAGATGCAAGACTTTCACCATTTAGTTGGGCAGCAAACCGCTACTAGGCAGAAAGAAATTGAGCAGCAGCCAGTTACCAGAAGACAGATCAGTGTACCTTGCCACATGGCCCTGTGCAATGCCTGTCTGCTCCTGTCCTGTGCCATATTACAAGTGTGACTTGAAAAGTGGCGTAAGCATGAGTTCATTTGCTTCCGAGTTTAACTGCCTTTAGCAAAAATGTTGCTTTTGTCATCAGGACCTAGATCTATGCAACATCCTTCTATTTCTATGACATGTTAGCTCTCCTCTTGCTGACCAGGATGGGACTTAAATAATTTATGATACATACGCACAATCTTAACACTGATTAATTCGAACTGGGGCTCATCAAGAAATCCCAATATGTCGTATGTCTGGGAGCAGAACGGTTTGGAAAGACAGGGCAGACTTTTTTTCAACTTTTAGGCAGTCATCCCAGCCTCGTGAGTTCCCAGTGCTGGGCTTTGATATTCATTATTGTTAAAAAGATAGGCACAAATATAATCCATTAATAAAAAAACAAACAGTTACAAGGTGTTTCATAAATGGGCTAAAACCAAGCATAATTCATTTCCCATGAGTTCAGAACAAATCTCTTGTGTATATCAAAATGTACCATGGGGTAGGCTGAGTATATTTGTTTGAGTTCACGTGTTCGGTAAAAAGAAAACAGAGTTTTTAAAAAATAATTTGGGGTACTAACAGTTTTTGAAGCATGTTGCCTTTTTCTTGAGAGGCAAGTGAGGTTGTGACATTTGGATGACACGTCGTTAGGTAAGCTTGCTTTAATTATTTCATTCCTAATGTTTGCCCTCAGCATAAAAGGAGCCTGTAAAGTAGATACAGTGCTGATACCTAACAAATATACCCAGTTTTTACTGGAATGTGCAGACTCTGCTGCATTCTTTGAACAGTTCTCTTACAGTCCTTGGGCACCCATATTTGATTAAGAAATCTGTGTTTTTTTCAGGCCAGCTGTGTTATGACCTTTGCTAAGTCAACAACATATGAAGGTCCCACAGGAGCAGCCAGGGTTTTTAATGCATCTTTGTCATAGGCACATTTAAGTAGTATGAATGTGTAACTGCTTACTCTGATGTTTCAGAAGAATCTTAAGAGACTCTTGTCCCTTGTACTAACCAATTTGGACAGAATAGAGATATGAACTGTGTTGAATGGGGGTGGAGCCAATCTGTGACTTGCTCATTTCTAAATTAGCGTGAAAAAGCTGCATAGTTCAGTGGTTTTGGCATCTGGCTGCAGAGCCAGAAGTTCGATTCCCCACTGTGCCTCCTCGACAAGGTCTGGAGTTGATGATCCTTTCTAGCTCTGTGCAGTAGGTTCTTATTGACACTTTGTTTTCCCATATATAGGTGTGTGCATGAGGAATTGCCAGGGAACATATTTAAATAAATTGGTGTCTGATGTTTTAAATTATTTTAGGGATTTGATTTTGTGTTCACACACTGTCCTATACAGTGGTGCCCCGCATAATGGGCGCCCCGTTTAACAACAAATCTGCATAGCGATGGCTTTTTTGCGATCGCAAAAGCAATCGCATTACGATGATTTAGGTAGTAAAATATCGCTTTGCGATGATCAGTAAGCTGTTTCGCTTACCGTTTTTCGCATAGCGATGTTTTTGGAACAGCTGATCGGCGGTTCCAAAATGGCCACCGGGTAATTAAAATGGCGAAAATGGCGGCCGTATGTAGGATTTGCGCATAATGGTGAGTTTACAACCCATAGGAACGCATTAAATGTGTCTTGTAATTTTCCCCTTCATCTTACTGGGCTTCAGATACGCATAAGGACACAGTCCTAGGAGGGAATTTTGGAGCCCTTGCTACTGATTGTCTCATTTAATTGTTGCTGCTTATATGGAGTAGAAACTTTAGAAGTATATGCAGCACTGGGTGTCATATGCAACAACATGCGCTATTTTTTATTTTTATTTTTTGCAGAGCACAAGCCTCCTCTGACAACTACAGTTTCCATGGGAGGTGATCAGACTTCTACAGTGGATTCTGTGGACATGGCAAAAGTCCAGATCGCACCTCCCTCTCATCCAGCTCCTGTACATCAGCCACCACCGATGCCTCACCGCCCGCCACCTCCACCCCCACCATCAAGTTACATAACTGGCATGTCCACTACAAATTCTTATATGTCAGGAGAGGGATATCAGAGTCTTCAATCAATGATGAAGACAGAAGCACCAACCTATGGAGCACTACCGCCCACCTATGGACCTCCAACTCACTTGCCATATCATCCTCATGTGTACCCCCCCAATCCCCCACCACCTGTTCCTCCTCCACCACCCACATCATTTCCACCACCAAGTATTCCTCCTCCTACCCCAGGGTACCCTCCGCCACCTACCTACAATCCTAATTTTCCCCCACCGCGGCTACCTCCCTCTCATGCTGTCCCACCTCACCCTCCTCCAGGACTGGGAATGCCACCTGCAAGTTATCCCCCACCCACAGTGCCCCCTGGGGGACAACCACCAGTACCACCTCCAATACCACCACCTGGCATGCCACCTGTTGCAGGACTTGGGCGTGCTACTTGGATGAGATAGCAGTAGTATGTACATCAGATTGTCTTTGATTTTGGGAAATGGTTTAAGAGTAAAGACAGCTGGGAACATAGTGTGTATAAAGTAGATACTGTTGTATGAAAATGTAGAAGGCAATGACTTAGAATCTTTACTGGTCTGCTTACAGTTTAATCAGCAGAGAGCAATACAGGCTTTTAGTTTCCATACGGTAAAGCAAATTAAAATCCAAGTTCTAAGTTTATTGTAGCACTGGATTACTTTGCACTAGTAAAATGTTTTAAGAGCCATATTGGCTAAATTATATTGGTAAAAAGAAAATTTGCTCCTAGAAATCAGTGCCTACTTTTTGAGTGTCAGGATGAAGGTTATCATTTCATCTAAAAGAGCACCTTTCTGGTTTTCATTATGTGATGTAACATTCCAACCACACTTTGTTCTAAGTAACAGAGCCGAATTTATTTAATATAGTTACACTAGTACAGCATTTACAGCCTATAACAGAGGAACATCTGTTGGTGTCTGCCTTTCTGCCATTTTTGTTTTAGAATGTACTAGGCTCTTGACTTGTATGTTTGTTTAAACCTATGTGCAAATTTCTGTACATAAATATATATTTTCTAAGTGTGAAAGTCTGAATGTAATGGCATATGGTGATTTACAACCTGTTTTGTTTTTGTCTTTTTAAGGCTGACTTTGTTGACATGTACCTGAATAAATCTGGTTCTGAAAACCCTTAGATGGAGAAATGCATTCTTTTAAGGCTGGTTCTAAGTTTTATTTTGCAAAAGTTACTACGTAAGTCAGGATTAAATACAACTTTTCATAAACACAGTTTTCTTGGTTAATCCAAGTAATGCAATTTTGTTTACTTGATATCTAGTTAAATTTGGAGAATTGTGAGCCTATTCCTTGCTGTGGATGGGATACTGGGAACTTATAGCTATACCAACAAATTGTAAAAAATGAGTATTTATTACTTAAATCTGCTGGAAAATCCTAGATTACTGTACTATGCTGGTAGATTTTCAACTTAACTGAAACTTAACATACACATTTAGCCAAAACTTGAATGTTCCTTGTCCAAAATGTTTGGAATGTTTATCAGTTGAAATACAGCAGAATGGTTAAAATGGCAGGGTTAGTAGCTCATGATTTCATACAATACTTCTTAAGTTCTCAGAAATCCAGAAACATCACAGCTCACTTACAAATAATGTATTTTATTTGCTTCAACCAAATGTATACACTATCACAGTCTCTTACTTAATTTTTACTAAAATATTCCAAATCAAGGTTTTACACACTTATCAAAAATCTGCTTACATTTTTTTCTGCCCACCCACGCAAAGTGATTCAATAAAAGGTATAAATGTGTGCTAAAATCTAAAGACATTGCTTATATACATGAGCACAGGTGCTAACATATTCCAGTTCTATTTGTCAGTCATATACAGAAAATATAGTGGGGCTGTAAGCTCACAGGTTTAACAGAAATCATAATTTCATACTGATTTCCAAAAGCAGCACAAATAGATTCTTTCCCCACATTATGAAAAATATACAATTTTCTCACTCTACAGCCATGCGCTCTGAAAAAGATCAGTAGTACTCCGCCCCTTCTCCCCTGTTCTAAAAAGATAAAAGGTCACTTAACAACACTGGGTTTGATCCAAACTTAGTCATTCTTAGAGTAAACCCACACAGAATCCTGATGCCTTACACGAACAATTGCACACGCTGTCCTGCCTTGTTAGGCTTCCCATTGTGATTCCCATACCAACTGACGGGAAACAATGACGCTCCTGGCAGAGTTACAGTAAATTTAAATGAAAACAGCTAGTGCAAATTGACCCTATGCATGTTTTTCCCCCGCATTGGGATTTTGGCCTTTGGGATGCAAGTCATGACTTGGAAGGATAAGTTTATATCAACTGGTTTAAGTATGATTATGTCTTCATCCAACACTCTTCACCACTGTGGTTTGCCTAAAAATGTGCCATAGTTCTGCAGTTTTGATGCACTGTAGTTTGCTTTCCCCACCATCCCCAAATGTGAAAATATAATCAACTGCCTTGGAGTCAAATATTGGTGGCGACGGGTGGGGGAGGAATCCCAAAAGAATTTTGTTCTGACATAGATCAGTTTCAAACTAAATGGAAGGTTTCAAAAAATTAATTTCTGGTTCATTTTAGAGTGCAGCTGTGCAGAAAGTACCTTGGGATCTACTAGAAGATTGCCAGGTGATCATCCATATAGATCAGTGCAGGCTTATGCACTGACATACAATTGCTTTAAGACTAGCACTTCCCCCCATCTAAACAAGACCACTGAAATAAAGACGGCATGAGCACACACAAAAAGGTGTATGTCTGTGAGGTCAATTAACTATGCTGAAAATACTGTTCCTAAGCTCAGAACTGACAAGCCTGAAGATTGCCCAACTCTTTAACAGTACAAACATTTGGAGTTCACAACCTCCAAAGCAAACTGTACTATTGAATTTCATTATTCTAGATGAATACGCAATCTTTCGGGTTTTTATAGTACAGTATACAACTTTTTTTAAAAAAAAAATGGTTAGATAACGTTTAGCATCCATGTTACAGTATACTGTAAAGTCACTGTAACATTTCACCTCCCAAGAAGCCACTGGCTTGAGCTCAGTTTCAGCCAAATATAAAGTAGCAATTTAAAAACTTCAGAACATATACCATGATATCTATAAACACTGCAATGCACAACTTGCATTTAGATTAGAGATGGGGACAACTCACCATTTTGGCAAGTTCAAAAGATGACTCACGAAGCATGAAGTTGCCCTATGAAGCTTTGTTATTTGTTGATTCATGGGGAGGTGTGTTTTTTAAAAAAAGGCAGGCTAAGGGAATCCAAGCAGCCCTTTGCAAAGATGGCAGCTGTAGCTTCCCTACCCTAAATGAAGCCACAGCTGCCATCTTTGCAAAGGGCAGCCAGTCTCCATTTTTACATGAAGGGGGTGGGCTGTGGGGGTTGATGGCTGCCTCATGATCAGCAGCCGGTAGGCAGAATGGGGTTTTTTTAAAAATAGCGAAGGACGAATAAAAATGGGGAAATATTCATCGATCTGTATTCGTCGGGTCTTAAAATTGGACGAATACAGATTGACGAATATTTAACGAATCGGCTATTTTTGCCGGGGAAAAAAAACGATCCATTTATATATTCGTCCCCATCTCTAAATTGAATGTACCTCATACTTTCATCCACCAAAAAAATGTAATTGTGCTGGATAGCTTTGTGGTTTAGGCATCTGGCTGCAGAGTCTGAGGTTGGGAGTTTGATTCTCCATTGTGCCTCCTTGATAGAGGCTAGACTTTGTATCCATAGGGTCTCTTTCAGTTCTGCAGTTCTAAGAAGATTACCTAAGATTATTATAAATGTGACCATTGAATCCCAAGCCATTTAACTGGAGTATTTGTTTATTTTATTGGATAGTGCTACAAATTATGTTTAGTTGAATTTCCCCTTGTGGTGGTTTTGTTTTTGTTTTGCTAAAACCTGGCTGTTTTCTTGTTTTCATATTGTATTGATGGTAAAGAATAACACTGAAACATAGTTTTATAATGCTTGTCCTCTTTCTGTTTGTTTTGTTTAACTCATAAGCAACCACACACACAACCAGTGCAGGCTCCAAGTGAAAGTCATCAGTTAGTCCCAGTTAGACTGACCAGACAAATTGTTCTTATACATGGGTTACCATCAAAATCTCATGGTTTCTACAGGTCTGTTCTAGTTGGAATGAACAACTGGAATTATCCCAGTGTCATTTGGCTTGTTAGGTCCCCACTGTCCACCAAAACATCTGGACAAGAGCGACAAGTGCGTGAATGTACATATCTGAGCTTGCACATAAGCACCTTCTATTACAGCTCTTCCTTGCCTCTTCTTCCTCTATAGCGCAAAAGGCAGCATATTTAGGCTGCTCAGCAGAAGCTTAACAGGATTCTGTCCACTGAGCTAGTCCTCCATGCTGTCTTTCTCTTTCAGGCACCAACCAGCGCAAGAGTGCTGTGTTGTATGCCTTCAACCTTGCACCCTTAAAACCCATTCCTCCTGGAAGATCTATTTGAAGTGGTGGCTGGATCTGTGAAGAGCAGTTATTAAATGTTTATAGATTATGTTCATGTTGGCCTCTAGCATGGAGCATTTCTGTATAAACAACTGCCTATGTTTATCAGCAGCGTGATACCATATAGCTGTTACGCTAAGGTCAATCTTAATGGCTGATCAAATGTGCTCTTTATCACTCAAACATGCCATCATTTAAAAAAATCAGTAAGTAGATCTATGCAGGTCTGTGTAAAACTAGAAACATTGGAAAATGGTAAGAAAATCCGTAGAGATAAAAGGAGGAACTGGTGGAAAACAATGCAAAAAGGAAGTAAAGCAGAACACTGCTGAAAATCCAGCGGCATAAGAAGAAAAAGTGGGATATTATAAAATATAAACAAGGTTGTCAGACCTACAGAAGCTGTTTCAGGGTTAAAGATGGTAGGAAAGAAACACTGTGTGATGTGCACTCATCTTACTGTGTGACCTGTATTTTCATTGTGGATTTCCCCTTTGTGGAGCTGCTTTGCATATATATTAAAGCACTTTTGGGGCAGTTTACAATTTAATTATGCAGGCCACACATTGCCCCCCCTCCAAGCTGGGTACTCAATTTACCAACCTCAGAAGGATGGAAGGCTGAGTGAACTGCAAGCCAATTACCCGGGATTGAACCCCAGGTTGTGAGCACAATTTTGGTTGCAGTACTGCAGTTCAAACACTGTGCCATAAGGCTCAACAATGGAGGTGAAAAGAACTTCAGTTCAGCATAGGAAAAGCCACTGTCTCATTTTCAATCTTAGAAATCACTGTCTGTTGCCAGCCCCACTGGGCCATAATATAAGTCAGGTGTGAGAAACATCTGGCCCTTCTGATGTTGCACTGCAACTTCCATCGGCCCTATTCAGCACAGGTAATGGAAAGAAACAATGGCAGCTTCAGCCCACCAAAATCTGCAGTGGTCCCCAACCTTGAGCCTCCAGATGTTCTTGGACTACAACTCCCAGAAGCCTTCACCACCACCTCTGTGGCCAGGATTTCTGGGAGTTGAAGTCCAAGAACATCTGGAAGGCTCAAGGTCGGGGACCCCTGATCTAGAGGACTGCATATTCCCTATCCTTCATATATGTGTTATTACAAAATTGGTTTTAGGTTCTGTTGTCATAACTATATCATCATTGGCTTTGATTGACCGTATAGTAGGAAAAGTGATTAAAGGTGATGCATAAATATTTTAACACAAACGCTACTGGAACACATGTATTCCTTAGACTACAACATGGATGGAGAACATCTTTCAGCTGAGGGTTGAATTCATATAAATTGGGGGTGGGCAAAAATGTGGAACCTGTGTAGATTCTATTAAAGCTCTTTAACAACTGGCTAGAAGAGGCATTTCAACCTTTTTGAATAAAGGAAACCCTAAGAAACCAGGAAACCACAAAATGAAAGAATGATGAAGGAGTGATTGCAGCCTTTCTGCAAAGGGCCGGAGTGGGGCTCCTAAATTTGGCCCCAGGTTCTGAAGTTCATACCCTGTGTGCCAGGAAGGTTTTCTGCTCACTGAAAGGCTATGGTAGGCAGAAGAGACAGGAGACCTGTTCACATTTTGCCTGTTAGCTTTTAAAGCACCCTTGGTGCACTGATCCGCTTAAAGCATTAAAGTTTGTGAGATGCCATGTACACATCCTGGAGATGGGTACCAATTACATTTCTGTGACTTCTTCCCAAATACCTATACTTCCACGTCTCCTTTGCACTTCGTCAATCACAGCAAGCCCAGGGCGCATGGGACAGAAGGTGGAAACACTCCCGTTCTCGTGACAACTTTGAGAACCTCCAAACGAGCGCGAGTCCATCCTCAGATGGGCTTTGAAAATTCTAGGAACGGTCATCCAAACCGACAATTTTTTCAAGCTCTGCCACCTGTTTAACCTAATTATCAGAATGGATTACAGTATAAACGAACCTAAATGTGGACCATTCTTATCCCTCCCTTAACAGTCTTACTCCACAGTTACTAAGCCACAACTAAAAGCAGCCAGTCCACCCCCACCCCACCCCGGTGACTGCACCTCTATCAACCTGGCAAACCTGAGCTTCTCATGTTCACAGTTTACATTTCAAGTGTAAATCAGTACTTATAAGAAGTTAGGTATACATCTAAAAAATAATGGGGCAAAATACCCTCTCAGCCAGCAGCAACTTTATTCACCAACCACTTCACTCCTCCCTTCATTTGAACAGGCTTTGGCTTACTAGAATTAAAATACCATGGCCATATCCAGGAAGGCTGAACTCCAAATGAAGTAACTTGAGTCGCTTTGGACTGATTTTAAAAAAAAACAAGGATGGACAACCTGTAGTCATTTTGATGTTGTTAGATTCCAGTTCCCATCAGCCCCAGCCAGGTTGGACAACAGTGAGGAAAGATGGGACCTAGCCATCTATACCGTATTTGCAGGATGGACTGTACAGTATTCACTCTGAATAGATTACAGGCCTGTTGGGAAAGCATGATCAGGAATTAGGGGAGGACAGCTGGAAAGCTAAGGATTATAAACACTTGTAAGCCCTGCACAAAATGACATTTTTGGCCTACAGGAAAACAAAAGTACTTACAAGAAGTTAAGTATACCAGAATCTCCCATGGTAATGACAGTGTTTGGGATTTTGGAAGTTTTAGGCCAAACAGTGACTTTGAAATTTTGTTGAGCGCCTTCATCTGGGAGCAACGGTGCATCATAAACAACATCTGAATAGGCCCAATACTGGTCTATGTAGGGACGCAAGATCTCGATGGGCTTGGGCGCCACATTCATATCCCAAGGTCCCACTGCAGGCCACTCCTGGTGACCTGCAGCAAAAGAAACAGGGACTTCAGTAGAGTAGGACCCCTGTATCCATGGGGGATTGGTTCCATACCTCCTGTGGATGTTGAAAAATGCAAATTATAACACTATTTCAATAGTAAACACTATACAGTGGTGCCTCGCTAGACAATGATAATCCGTTCCATTGAAATCGCTGTTGAGCGAAATCATTGTCTAGCGAAAAGCATTTCTCCATTGGAATGCATTGAAACCTGCTTAATGCGTTCCAATGGGGAAGAATCGTCGTTGTCTAGCGAAGATGGGCCGATCAGCTGTTTAAATCGCTGTCTTGCGAAGCTTAGGTCCTGAAAACACCTGTTTTGCAAGCGCGGAGGGAGCTGTCAAAATCGTCATCTAGCGAAAATCGGTTTGCGAAGCAGGGACCAAACACTGTCCAGCGAAATTCCCCCATAGGAATCACTGTTTTGCGAATTGCTATAGCAGTCGCAAAAAGCCAATGTCTAGCGAAAAAAAAATGTCATGCAGGGTAACTGTCTAGCGAGGCACCACTGTACATAGCATGGTCTACATCTCCCTCTAGTGGCCAGTTTTGATAATGACACTATAGAAATATATTTCTTTAATAAACATTATACATAACATGATCTCTGGCTCCCTGTAAGGGACAGTTCTGGTCACTTTTAGAAATATATAAATTTCTAGGATTTTTATTTTACTATTTTAAATATGTTCAGACCATGGGTAAGCGGAATCATCAGATACTGGTCCCACAGATACGGGGGGTCCTACTGTATTTTCCCCCAAGGATTTTCCTCTAGGGATTGCAATAATGGAGAAGAAATAGGTGGCCTGTGACCCGTCCCTGCAAAAATCAAGAGAAAACAAGAGTAGATTTAAGAAGGAAATATAAATGAAGAATGGTCTATAAAAGGAGTTACGCTGAGAAGCCTCTCGCTGACCATTTCAGTTCTGTACTACTTGAAGAAATCTATATGAATCTTAATCAGATCTTAACCTAACCCCCCCCCCCCAAAAAAAGGGCATCCAAAAGGAACAGGTCCAAGTAACCAAACCACCTATGGTGGGTATCAGCACCGTAGCCAAGATTCTGTGAGACAGGATGGAAGAAACAGCTTGAAGATTTAGGGCCTTCAAGCTAAATTTTTTAAAGTAAATTTTGGAAAAGGGAGCATCCATTGTGTAAACTTCCTTTGTATGGCTGATGTTACACAGGTGGGATTTGATTGTTGGTTACATGCTATGCTATACACCTGAAAGAAATCTGCAAAGACCTGATGGGATAAGGCGATTTGGCAGGTTACAAACGAGCGGCTTTGCTAGTAATGGAAAAATCAGCCCATCCCCTGTTCTCTACAGCAGTTCAAAGGAGAGAAAGACCCAATTTGGTTGAACATTTCCACAAACAGTTGTTTCTTCCGTTTAGCTGGAACAGCCGTACCTCTACTTTATATTTTCAACTCACCCATTCAGGGTCTTATACAGTGACAATGTGAAGGGGGGAACATACTTACACCAATCACTCTTTACAATGTCAAGATTATGACTAGATAGATAAGCAAGGGATGAAATGACAGATAGTATAGTGTTCAAAAAGGGGCAGGTGGAAAGGGAAACTGAAGCTCCACTTCCCACACAGGGCATGTTCCAAACCACCGAATTGATGATGTCTGGAGATGCAAACAGCCACAAAGCAACAAGCATTCCTATTGTAGTGTGATAAAAAAAGGAAAGGAGAGCTCCGGTACCCTTAGCCACTGTGCAACCCAGAGCTGGGGAGTGTCTGGCTGGGGATTCTGGGAGCTGTAGTCCAAAAACAAAACAAAACCCCTCGCCCTCTGGGTATGAAGCTACATGGAAAGAAATTCCTCCTACTGAGAAACTTTTTTTGTATACAACTATTTAGAAGGACTGACATCCGGTCAACGAGGGTTCCAAGTTTGAAGAAGGAAGCTGTCATCGGAGTGCCTCCTTCTACCGTGACTTCGCTCCCTGGTTATCCTGGCCGCTGCCCATGGACTCAGCCTCTTCCACCAGGCTCTGCCTCCACCGCACCCCAGAAAAAGGCCAAAGGTAGAGACGGGGGGGGGAACATGGCATGAGGAGGTTCCTGTTCCTTCTCATTGCCTTCTTTGTTCTTTGTTCAGGTAGCAACAGCCCGGAAGAAGTGTAGTGTGGCTGAGACGGTCAAGGAATGAACAGAGGGGCCTTGACTAGGGCCTGAGTGTCCATGACGATGACCCTTGACTTCTCCCTGAGACCAATCTTCCTTTGTATTTGGATCACATTCTCCACCATCCCTTTTATGTCAAAGTCAGAGGTTGGGAAAGTCAGTTTTTCAAACCAAAACGCCCCAAATGCCACTGGCTAGCCCAGGCATGAGAGGCCCCCCTGCCTGCAACACAGAGGAGTCCAAGCCTTGCTCAGTGACACTCCATGTCTATTTTTTCCGTGGCTTCACATTATCCTGGAAACGATTTGGTTATGCACCTGGGAGGCAAGGCCTCTTTCACACCAGGGGTGCACACAATAACTGGGGGGAGTTGCCGTATATTGCTCTAAGCAGCCACCACACCTCCGGGATTCATGCATATATCAGCCAGACCTGCGTGGAAGAGAAACAAAACTTGTGACCCATCACAACCCCTCCCCAGCCATGCGCTGAGGTGGATCAGCTCAGAATATACAGCTAAAGGGCGGGCGTCCACTTGCTGGGATGCAGTTCTTAGAAAAGTGTTTCTATAATACCAGCCGAGCAGTAAATATGATCATCTTGACGGGCGTGAAAACAACAGCCCCTTTTTTTATCTTTTCTGAACACGATGCTGCTTCTCCATGCTCCATGAGTTTGAATTCTTTGCTTCCTCCTCCTCCTAGAAATACATTTTGGGGTGGTGGATTGTTTTTTTCAGGTATTTCTACATATGACCAGACAACAAAGCAGGTTTTTCACCACAATACAAATGACAGGTTGGTCATTGGAAGATAGTTAGTAACCCATAATATGTTGTTCTGGATCGGCACAGCCTTTCAGCGAGGCCTTCAGCTGCCTTATTTACACTATAAACAGTGATGGGGAAGGGGGTGGGGGAAACAGATAACCCTGGCAAGCTCAAAGCAGACAAGTCTCTGTTCCTCTCACTGTCTTCACCCCCAATCCTGGGGCAGCGGGAAGTTTCTTACAACGGGCCCTTGAACTGGTTTCCTGACAGATGTTGCCGGATCGATGGTTTGGAACTAGCGGCATCACCTAGCTTCCGCCAGACAACCTAAAAAGCAAAGGAAAGAGAGAGAGAGAGAGAGAGGTTGGGCTTTTTTTGTCTATATCAGTGTAATCACACGAACCAAAAGAATCCCGATTATATCAATTATCCCATTATTTAAATCGTTTTATATATTTCCGTTCACATTGACACATGGAGAACATCAGTTCATGTGGCCAGCCAATCAGGGTTTTTTCCCCCCACTTCGCCGGCATGGTCTCGTTAAAACAATTCAATGTATCACTTCAATCATTATCATTTTGGTGTTTGTGAACGTTGGTGTCGATTTATTTACTCTGCGAACAGGCCAGGTTTTTTGGCACCATGGCCACTGCATAGCCGCCATGTTTTTTTAACTTTTATTTTTTAAAAATACTTAAGAGAGTAAGCAAAAAGTTGCTTACTTGTTCTTTTCATCATTTTGGTGTTTGTGAACGTTGGTGTCAATTTATTTACTCTGCAAATGGGCCGGTTTTTTTGGCACCAAGGCCACTGCATAGCCACCATGTTTTTTTAAATTTTATTTTTAAAAAATACTTAGAGTAAGGAAAAAGTTTCTTACTTTTTCTTTTCATTTCCCCCCTCCACACACACACACACACACACACACACACACACCAGTTTACTGATGTTGATGACTTCCCTATTGTATCCCATCAACCCTGCTTTTGTGTGGCTTATTGTTAATTTCCCCTTTTCGACAACAGTTCAAGCCCTTTTTCATGCTGTCCTACATTTATCTAGTGATATATCCCCACCAGGGGGCGCAACAGCTGGGAGTGACAGGAAAAATGGCCATTTTAGCAAGGCCTACTTGTGATTTTTTTTTTTTAAAGAAAATTTTAGGGCAGTGATGACCCAAAAACAGGTCAGAAAATGAAATCAATTTACATGGGAAAGTTTGTGTCGCCTACAGAACCAGTACAAGTAGCAAGAGATGTACCAATTGACATGACAGCCATGTATATATACACTACAGGATTACACATACAAGTATATTGATATTTTAAAAGGAGGAAAAAGAAAAATTCAACTGTTCCATGTGAATAGGCCCTAAGCTGGAACCAAGTCCCACATCCAAACTAAAACTGACAGTGTCCGGGAAATTCTGCCACAGTCTAGTTTGTGCAACACCTTCTGGTTCCAGTAGGTGGCATCGGTTCCCAAGGCAAAAGTCAACCAATTTCAAAAGCTGATCTTATTAAACCTCCAAAATTAGAACTGCAGACAAGCCTTAGGTAATGGAATCAAACCAGTAAACAAGGATCAGCAGTCGAGTTCAGTACTAGGTCAGCTGCTGGCAAACTTTCAGGACTCCTGTGTTCCCTCTTCCTTTCCTCAGGTTATGTGCCACAATGCAGGAACCAACTTAACAGTGACTTCAAAGAGGGCAGAGTTTTGGCCACATCATGAGAAGGCAGGTTTCTTATGAGAAGGCCAGCAGACAACAATGCTGGGAAGGTTGGGAGTTTGGTTCCCCACTGTGCTTCCTATGAACAGAACCAGCCTGCGTGGCCTTGGGCAAGCTGCACACTCTGAAAGAGGTCAGAGTTGACTCGACAGCACACAATTATTATTTGAGGGCTCCAGCACCTACCTACCTCCGCTCAAATGGGGATCATGGAATGACAAGCACAACGTGTTGATTTTTGCTTCTCAGCAAAACGTGAACTAGGAGAATGTGAGAACTGGGTCTCTTTCTTCACCTGACCTTCCTCGTGCAAAAACAGAAAAGAAACAGCTGTTCGGTCGAGGAACAAATTTCAAAAAATAAGGTTGGGTAACATCCATATAACAGTGCTAAATGACATAGATGCCAGTCCGTCAGCACTTGGGCTGTTCACAGCACATGCAGAGGAGGGGCAGGATCTGTTCTCAATCATCCCAGAGTGCAGAACACGCGACAATGGGGTCAAGTTGAAGGAAGGCAGATTTCGGTTGAATATCAGGAAAAACTTCCTAACTGTTAGAGCAGTACGACAAGGGAACCAAGCGACCTCGGCAGTTGGTGAGTGCTCCAACACTGGAGGCATGAAAGAAAAACTTAGATAATCACCTGGCAGATATGCTTTGATTGTATTCCTGCATTGAGCAGGGGGTTGGACTTGATGGCCTTGTAGGCCCCTTCCAATTTCACCTTTCTATGATTCTATGGAGCCTTGTGGCACCATGGTTAAAATGCAGTACTGCAGCCTAAACTCTGCTCAGGACCCAGGTTGAATCCCAAGTAGCCAGCTCAAGGTTCACTCAGCCTTCCATCCTTCCAATGTCAGTAAACTGAGTACCCAGCTTGCTGGGAGGGGGCAATGTGTAGCCTTCATAATTAAATTGTAAACTGGCCAGAGAGTGCTTTAAGTGCTATGGGACGCGATATAAGCAACACACTTTGATTTTGTACCAATGCTCCAATCTCTGTTCCCACTGGGTTTTGTCTGCAACTCGCCCTACAACAAACTCTGTCCATGGCAACTGACTAAAACTCAGGGATGTGGTCTACAAGTTTTTTGACACCAAAAATCAACCTCCTCTATTCTGTCCAACATGTGCAATAAAATGCGACTCTGAGGGACAAAAACAGCCTATTCATGTGAATGAGAGTTAAGGCAAAGTAGAAATGCGGTAAGGCCCTAAGGCTGGCTGCAGGTTTTCACAGGCCCCCGTCCCTGATCCAGAAAAGCTACACTACTTGTTTCCTGACCTTAATTCACCTCACTAGCTACCAAAGGTAAGCGTTCTTTGTAACCAAGGATCTCTGTGGGTTTTATTATACTGTATGTGTGTGTGCTGCCAAGAGCAAACTTTGGTTTGTGATTTCTGGGTTTTGAAGGAGGGACACCCTGGTGGCGCTACAGGTTAAACCACTGAAGCCTCTGTGCTGCAAGGTCAGAAGACCAGCAGTCATAAGATTGAATCCATATGACAGAGTGAGACCCCATCGCTTGTCCCAGCTGCTGCCAACCTAGCGATTCGAAAGCATGCAAAAATGCGAGTAGATAAATAAGTACCACCTCAGTGGGAAGGTAAATGGTGTTCCGTGTCTAGTCACGTGACCACGGAGGATTGTCTGCAGACAAATGATAGCTCTATGGGTTGGAAACAGAGATGACCACCGCTGCCTAGAGTCGGACATGAATCGCAGACAAATGATAGCTCTATGGGTTGGAATCAGAGATGACCACCACTGCCTAGAGTCGGACATGAATGGACAAAATTGTCAAGAGGAACCCTTACCTTTATGTTGTTATGTGGGGTCTTCTGAGGCTTTCAGTTTTAATTTGCCCAGAGAAGTGCTTGCACTAATGAGGTGGTGTGTGTGTGTGAATGAATGAATGAATGAATGAATGATAGTAAACCTTTACAGGGTTCTTGAGATGTGTGAGATGTTCAGGGAGTGTTATACCATTGCCACTGCCACTCTAGTTAGGCATCAAACAGGGATTTGAACCCAGGTCTCCTGAGTCCTAGTCTGGGACTTTATCCACACTGGTTCTGGTACCTGAGGTTGCTTCTTAATTCTTCTCTTTCAATTCTTTTTGTTTTTGTGTGGTGTCTTTCAGACTACAAACATCCAAGTTGAGAATGTCTTCTTTTTAAATATATACAGTTGTGCCCCGCTGGACGATTACCCCGCTCTACAATGAATCTGCTTTACGCTGACATTTTTGCGATCGATGGTTTAAATGGGGGAATTTCACTTAGTGATGATCGGTTCCCTGCTTCGGGAACTGATTTTTCGCTTTACGACCATCAGCAAACAGCTGATCGTCAGGTTTCAAAACGGCCACCGGCTTTCAAAATGGCCCCCCGCTGTTTTCTAGGACGGATTCCTCGCTTTACAGGCACTGAAAATGGTCGCTGTATGGAGGATCTTCGCTGGACAGTGAGTTTTTCAGCCCACTGGAACGCACTGAATGAGTTTCAATGGGACTTTTTCGTTTCGTTTGACGATGTTTTCGGTCTACAGCGATTTCGCTGGAACGAATTAGCATCGTCAAGCGAGGCACCACTGTATATAAATATGTTTGCAAGCAAATTCTAGGACACATTTTGGGTTTTTAAAAGGCTGGGTGGGAGGGAAATGACACACAAATAGGACAAAGGACTGAGCAAAAGGCAGTTTGCATTGCCAGGGACTTCACCAGTCTAGAGCTCATATCTATCACTCTTCTAAGCATTAATGGGCTCCCAGTGATGCTGCTTTAAAGGCAGAATGTCCCTTTCAAAGCACAATAAACAAGGAAGTGTCGGCAGCATTTCTGAGGCACGCTGTAAAACCTCAGCTCTTTCCAGGATGTGTAAGCAACTTTTTAAAAAATGTAAAAAAAAAAATAAAACAGGCAAAGGGGAGCCTTTGCAGCATGAGCCTTTCATTCCACCTGAAAGCGACCTGTTTCAAAAGATGGACAGGTGCCATTGTTGTACAACTGAGACCCTTCCACAATGCCTCACATTGCAAAGGGGATTAAATATAGCACTTTCCAACACACAAAAGGGCCACAAGGCTTATGAAAACCACCTGGGTTTAATGGGAAAGTCTGAAAGCAGTTGTTAAGGAAAGCCCTTTGAACATTAATTTTTTAAAAAAGTTTTGCTCTTTGTATGAGGAAAAACGCCGTGTCTTCACCACTCTGACACAGCAGGTTTAAAGAAACAGTGCCTCTGTTCGGCATGCTTCTGCTTCTGGCTACATGCCATATGGCATCCCACAAGCCCACAGCATTTAAATGGAAGTATTAGTGGTTTTCCGACAAAAGCTTCTAAATTTCACTGACTCCATGAAGACAGTGTGGGCTTCCAACCATACATGGTTGACCACAAGGACTGTTTGATTATGGTCTTTGAATTCTCTGAAAACTGTAGCAATGATCTCTGTCAAGGGAACAGACTTGCAATTAGTGGTAGAGGATGGACACAAAACAGACAACTTCTACAGTAAAGTTAAACCCAATCCTCAGCTGCTGTGGACACAGCAGGATGTACTTCCTAGAAAGCAGATCTGCAGCACTATGAACATTTAAAATAATAATGATAATAATAATAATAATAACAACAACAACAAATGAGCTGTCAAGGAGATTTTGACTTACACAACCCTTTGCAGGGTTTTCTAAGTGTGCAATATTTAGAATTGGGGACATCCTGGGACTGTACAGCTTCCCCACGGCTACACAAGCTGGCTTTCCCCCACAAGAGGCACAGTGGGGAATTATTTCAGTGGGGAATCAAATTCTCATTCTCTGGTTCTACAGCCAAGTACTGTACTTAATTCACCGAGTAACTCAGCCAGCAAACTTGGTCTAGGACCAAATCTATTGAACAAGGTCTTGTAACAGCAACAAGCAACATCATCATCATCAACAACAGGTCTATGGCTCTAGACTCCTCCAAGTCACCGTGTTAGTTGGGGAATTCCAGGAGGCGTTAAAAATTAACATTTATAAACACAGTGAGGCTCCAAATAACATATGCACAGAATTGTTTTCCAGCTTTGTACTTCTGGGGGAGTTTTTGATGCATAGAATACCTTGCGTTTTTGACTCCTCTGCCCATAAACAAACAAAAAGCCCTGCACCACCCCTGAATTTCAAAAGCAGTTTGTCACGTGCATACCTTTCAAGCACCAAAGATCTCTCTGGATCCCAGCCTAGAATCTTAGCTGACTTTTTCCAATACACCTGAAGTGGCTCTTGTCCACCAAAGCTAATGCCAAATAAAATGTGTAAAGTCTTTCAGAGTCTGTTTAGCACAGCCCTGGGGCACAGTGGCTAAACTGCAATACTGCAGTGAAGACTCTGCTCGTGACCTGAATTCAATCCCGATGGGCTCAGATAGGTTGACTCAACCTTCCATCCTTCTGAGATGGGTAAATCAAGTGTATCCCGCTTGCTGGAGTGGGGGGGGGGCAATTTGTAGACTGCATAATTAAACTGCAAACTGCCCAAAGAGACCTTTAAGTGCTATGGGGTGCTATATAAGCAGCATACCTTGCTTAACTGTCTTTGCTTTAACAGACTGCCACAGTTTCCCCCTTGTAAATCTGTACAATTTTAGAAAATACAAACCCTTGTTCTTTTCAAGGCGTGGGATTTCAGACACATGCACAGAGCTTTACCTGCTGAATCCTTTCAGTGGAAGGAGGCAGTGATATTTGCCTTTTTTTGCAGTAAATTAGGAGACAAATACTCCCTCCCTCTATTCATTCTCTCCCTACCCTTCTGTCTTTGATACAAGAGACAGGAAATGGCCACTACCCCTGGTATCTCTTTCCTGCTTTCCCCAGTAATGGTCTAGTTTTACGCAGAGTGACAGGATATGATTACTCAAGTGTGCTTTCTCCAGTCCTGATGACAACAGCCAGCAATCGGAGAAGAACCAGGCACACAGAACAATGGCCGCTGATGACTCCATTCTGGGGGTTGGCAGGCCAGCTGACAGGCAAAGCAAGAGACATGCTCTTGCCAAAAAGAATAACACTGACCTTAGGCTACCACTACAAGTTAATTTCTTCACCAGAAAGGAGTGGCACATGGAGCAGGTGGCTCTCGACTCTTAAGAAGTTCATACCCCATGGCGGAGGACCTTTTTTTTTTCTGCCAAGAGACATATTCTTGGGTAACTGAATGAAAGCTGCATGTCAGTGGTAGCTACAGCCAAAAGGGAGCAGGTCTGCTCTTTTCTCCCTCCCTCACCTTTTCTCTCTCTCTCTCATTCCACCACTTCCTCCCTCTTTCTGTTATTATTCTCCCATCACCCTTATTTTCCAGCGTGTTCTGTTTCTGCCCCCATTTCCTCTGACTTGCTATCTATTTTTCCTTTCTGCTAGTAACCCCCTTCTCTCCCTCCTTCCCCTCCCTGCTTATTTTACACAAGGCTTCTGGAAGCATTATTTTTATCAAAAAGAATGTACTTATTCGCCATACACTTTCTTTTGTTGAAAAACGTTTTAGGGCAGAGATCACCCATCAGAGTTTAACCATCCCTTCCTGTGGACTCCAGAGGCTGGAATAATAGCTGTGAGACTAAAATCAGTGTGGGGGGGGATGTCCCTGTTTTGCTCACCACGGCTATACATACTAACGTAGGAGCCCCCGGAACTCAGCAGGGCTTCCTAGTAGACATGAATATGACTGCGCACTCAGTCGCCAAGTAAACCCATTTTCTCTGCAGGCTGCAAGGACAACAGGCAAATACGCCTGCACACAGAGAACAGATCCTACAAGATAGTGAGCAGCATTTACACCACAACTGGAAGCAAACAACTGGAAATATGAAAGACGGTGGAAAATGGGTTCATTACATTGCACATTTCACGAACAATCGCTTTCTCCTTTTCACTCAGGTCTTCTTCATAGTTTTCTTTTATTTGCCTGTCCAAATTCTCATGGACTTCAAGGACCTACAGACAAACACAACGGACATGAAATTATAAAGAGACAATGCACGGTGATACCCTACAGACATCAAATGCCAAGATCATTTTGCTCTCACACTGAGTAGGTGAACAACAATCTCTCAATGTACACACACCACAGGAAAGAGGATGAGAGTCAAGAGGTACAACATAGCAATCAAACATAACAGAACATTACTTAAACCTTTTATCCACATACATCATTTAACTTAAATTAAACTTGGAACAATTCCACTTAAAGAAGCAGTTCACATTACGAGATTTCCTGGAAAACATTTGATTAACTTAATCATTACAAGCCCATCTCCATGGCCATATAATATGGTCCTGGCCATATAATGATGAAATTAGTCACTTCCTAACACAAAAGAGCAAGACAATGGACACTGCAATGATATGTAAGTGGGATGAAGTAGTGGTCTAACTTTTTTCCCCTCCCTCCATGTTAGTGTATATAAAAGAGATAAACCTCTCCCATCATGTAAAGGAAGAGCAGCTAATGGCTGCACTCTGAACATTGTTAGACTGCAATACCTAGCGTTCTTTATCACTGGCTATGGTAGACAGGGCTGATGAGGAGCTCCATTCCACTAAAATCTGGAGGGCAACAGCTGCCCACCGCTGCCAGCCATCAGAATGGTGCGTGACAAATCATGGATAGATGGCAACTCAGTGATAGAGCCCAGGGACAGCATTACTCCTGGAAAGAGGAAGGTGGCAGATGCTCTAGAACAGGAGTGATCCTGCTGTTCTCATGAACTCTCTGGCTAACCTCCACTGCTGGAGTGGTATTTGACACCCAACCTTGCCATGGGCATCTAAACTAACCTGCTGCCCACAGGTGTGCTAGATGGTGTGGTGCTTAGTGTGTTCAGACTAGGGCTTGGGAGACCAGAGAACAGGTACCCACTCAGGCTTGAAATTCACTATATGACCTTGGATCTGTCACCATCTCTTGGTCTGGCTTACCTCGAATGGGGAGGAAAAGAGGCGTGTTATGCTACTATGATCTTAAACACACTAATTGAATGGTGGTACTTCTGATTACCAGATGTAAAAAAACTGTTGGTTTGCATTTGCGGTTTTTGTTACATTGCTTACATGTACAAGCCTACCTTTCCTCTAGTCATCTTTATGTGGTGTACAAGGCTCTTCTTTACAACATTATTATGCTCACAACAGTTGCCCGCACAGCGATGTTTTCATATAGCGAAGGTTAATCCGGAACGGATTAACCTCGCTATACGGGGCACCACTGTACAAGGCTCTTCTTTACACCATTATTATGCTCACAACAACCCTGTGAGGAAGGCCAGGCTAGGAGAGAGTTACTAGCTCAGGTAATGGCACAGCAGAGATAAGAATCTCAACTTCATAGAACCATAGATTCGCCATAGGGTGGGAAGGGACCTTGGAGGTCTTCTAGTCCAACCCCCTGCCCAAGGCAGGAGACCTCATACCATCCCGGACTTCTTAAGACTCAGTTCAAAACACTAAAGCAGTGGTTCCCAACCTTGGGCCTCCAGATGTTCTTGGACTAAAACTCCCAGAAGTCTTCACCACTAGCTGTGCTTTGCCAGGATTTCTGGGAGCTGCAGTCCAAGAACATCTGGACGCAAGGTTGGGAAACACAGCACTAAAGTCTTACAATCGCACAGTCCTCTCCAACATGTCCTGCTTGGTGGGCTTGTCATGTGACTGACTGACCACTTGCAGAAAAGAGTCTTGATCTGATATGGCAAGGTTTTTGTTCTACAAAAGGAAAACGCCATATCTGCATTGCAAAACCTCACCTCGGGAGAGGAACCTAGTTGCTATGTTGTCTATGGAAAATAAGTCCATCTGCAAACAATTGAGTATTGACCAATTTTAAGAAAGAGGAAAACATCCATATTCGCCCTTTGTGACAAACCTTAAAAAGCAAGGTCTTGCAAAACTTCAGAAGCCAGAGTCCAGCAGTGTTTTCAATCAAAAATGGTCAGGATTTGTGTTTCCTGCATAAATTCTCAACCATTTCTAGTGCACACATCCCACCCACCCCCATACACAAAAAAAATTAAAATTCAGATTGCAAAATCCAATATGGCAAAACCTGGATTAATAGTGCAATGGATTTTGATTATTTTAATTCATCCACCCTCTGTTCTGGACACCAATAGTGCAGCTGCTCAGCCGGGGGTGAGGGGTTTCCCAGGCTTACATTTCACTGTTCTCTCAAGCACTGCAGACTGACCGCTTAGAACCGGAGTGGTGTCTCTTTTTCCTGCAGCATATTTAAAGTCTTGGTTACAAAAATAGGTCGTTCTCTTAGGACCTTTAACCTAGTTTGAAAACTGCATTAGCTGCTAACTTAACCGACTTATTCTGGACCAAAGGCCAGTTTGAATGATGGCCTTACTATTATGGCTTTGATTAAATTAGTTGCATCTATCAGTTTTTCTCTTTTTAAAAGGAGTGGGTATGGGAACAGGAATAGACAGGGCCAGAAGAGGGACTTAATAGCCAGCAAATAAAACCAGATCTCTGGTGAAAAGGCAAGAATTAATTATTGATCCCGCTGGATGTCAGATGTAGAAGCATCTCATCTAGGCCTCTGTATGCCTGCAATGCTCAACAGCCTGGGCAATTATGTCTCAGTGCATAGCTCAGAAACAGCAGGCTCTAAGCCAAAGGCTGGTTGCCTCCACAGCATAAATCCACACAACATTTGGGGTTGGCTTAATTAGTAGTCTGTAAACCGCGGACGAGAGATCCTCTCTCTTTCTCTCTCTCTCTCTCTCTCTCTCATGGCAAACATTAAATTCTCCCATAAACATGGATCTCCGTGTGTATTTTAATATATCTCTATCACTGAATGTACACAGGGTGCACTGATTTGGGAAACTACACCTGTTGAACACCTGCCAATCATGGAGCTATGAAAGATGCAATTTCAGACACATTTCAGGTAAAAGAGGACAATGAAAAGGAAAAACAGTAGCAGCTAGAGATGAGCGTGAATTAAAAAATGAATCACCAAATTCATTCAAAAGTTGCTCATTTGTTAATCCATAGTTGTATGAATCAATGTCACCAAAGAATCGTGGATCAATGAAATTTTGATTCATCGCTTTGTTTGGCTATAAAATGCCACCACCCCCCCCAGGAACCTAGAGACACCAAAATTGCAATGAAGCTTCCTCTGACTCTCCTCTACAATCCCTCCAAGTTTGGTGAAGATTTAGCCAGCTGCTAAATGGCACTTTCCTTGGGGGGGAGATGCACTTTGTGGCAGCTGCTAAATGGCACTTTCCTTGGGGGGAGATGCACTTTGTGGCTGTATAGCTCGGACACCCAAAACCCAAACTTCACTAAACGTGCAGGGCTTGTAGAGAAGAGTCCAGGGAAGCCTCCCTGTAATCATGGTGTCTCTAGGTGACCTGGGCGTTGTTTTATAGAGTTTTAAAGTAAAAAATGAATTTGTGAATTATTTAGTTTATTCATCAGGAAAAAATCATAAATTTCTAATTTGTGATTTATCAGCTTTGAAAATAACAAATATTAAAATGAATCACAATTTTTCTGATTTGCACCCATCTCTAGTAGCAACGTGATCTGACCCTTGCCATTTTTTTTTCCCTTTAGACTTCCTCCTTTACAGGCAAAGCTTTCCAATGTTTGTAAACGAATCAACAGAAAATGCTTTAGCTGCCTGATTCTTGCACAATAGGCTACAAAAAGGAAATGGAACAAAGCCAGAAAAAATAGCTGGCTCGCCACAGCCTTTGGGGGAAAGATGTAAAACTATGGATGCAACCTTATTCCCTCCCCTTCCTGACAAGAGTTCTGAGCATTTAAAGCAGGGGTGGGCAACATGTGCTTTCCTCAGGAGCCCAAACATGGCACTCCGGCATCCTCATACTCCACAAAAAGAAAACTGATTCTTTTCCATAAGGGCAGCTTCTGCTGTGTTTTGAAGGGTCCCCAGATGTCCTGCTGCTCACCCCAAAATCTGAAAAGGTTCTTTACAACTGTGGCCACTAGAGGGCAGAAGAGGGCTTTCTGAATACTACCCAATTATGTACTCCTCCCCCAAAAGGTAATGAGGATCACAGGAGCAGATAAAACTTTCTAGGGCCCAGAAACGGGCATATGTCGCTCCTCAATCTCTAGTGGTTGCCCAGCCATACTTCAAAGCAAAAACTGGAAAACTTTTTCAGCCTGGGGACCAAACTCAATTTCAGGAACGTTCCAGAGGTTGCCTGCTAATAGAGTGTAGAGCAAAGGCAAATACCTATACATTGCATCTTAAAGCACTTACTGGTGGTAACCAAGTCTTAGACAAGTACGTGAACTTTTTGGAATATGGGTGGAGGGAGGGAATTGCAAAAGTTGGAAGTCACAAAATGTTAGGTGGAAAGAGACATGGCCGTCTGGGAAATTCAAAGGGTCTGAGTTGGGACTCCAGGACGGCTGGATTCAGATCCTAGCCCCCCCCCCCTTCCCCAGCTTTAATAGCTGCCTGATGAGCAGATGCTGAGCAGTTTTCTCCATGAATGCATCTTAATGAAATGCCATGTTGGTCGTTCCCTTATTAAAAATAGAATTCTGAACCTAGAAATACAAGCAGATTCTGGCAGCTGAGTAAGCCCTCTCTTCCTCCCTCTCGCCCCCTGCCTTCTTCTCTCCCTTCCTCTCTCATTCTTTCTTATTCTTAGTATCTATGCACACAATCATAACCTGAAAGATTATCTAAGTGCCCTAGGGTCGGATACATTTAGAAGAGTTTTCACAGCCCGGAGATTTTGGATAATGAAAACTACAGTCCCGCAGGGGTGATACAGATGCATCAATGTGACATGTCAGACTAGGCGTACGTGAGCATAAGCTAGAGAATTTGGTTCGCATACTTTTATTGCATTTTATGCCAGGTTCTTTAGTGAAGCTTGAGGGGGGCTCTCCTCTTTTCTGGACCTCCCTGGGGCAGCATCACACATCAGCTGCTACAGGGAAACCACAGGGAAGAACCATACCTTTTGGAGATTACAACACACGAAATTCCCCAGCCACTAATCACATTCTGGAGGTTGCAGAGTCTACCCACAGTCAAGACAATACACTTTATTTTACAATTTATTTAAATGCATTTTTTTAAAAAAATATTTTTACTCTGTCTTTCTACTTAAAAGGACCCAACTGTGGTTGGTTCGTTTTGAAAAAAATAGTTTAAAAATAGTACTCCAAAAAGTGATACAACAAAACAACGAAGTCAATATATAGCAGCTCCTTTTTGGGGACAGATCACAGCCTAAACACTGTAGAAACAAGAAGCCTTGTTACTCCTTAAACACATTTTATCTGGCATATGCTTTTGTCTACAAAACCTCATGCCAAATAAAATGTGCTAGTGTTCAAAAATGCCACGCAATCCACCAACCCTTGGTTGGTTTCATCCCAACAGCCAAACTGAAAATGAGGCCAGACAAAACTCTTGGAGGACTGCTCTACTTACTGGTCATGGCAAGATGGGAGAAAACAAAATTCACGGTGGTAACAGGTGCTCTGTTTTATTGCCTAAATGGTTGTCTTCACAAAGGCACTACAAAATGCTTTGCCTTAGAGCAGAGCTTCACAACCTTGGGTCCCCCAGATGTTCTTGGACTAAAACTCCCAGAAGCCTTCACCACTAGCCAGGATTTCTGGGAGTTGCAGTCCAAGAACATCTGGGGACCCAAGGTTGGGACCCACTGCCCTAGAGGATAAGGAACATATGGATGAAAGGTCTGCAACTGATTCTTAGGATGATCCAGCATTAAAAAACGTGTTGTGATTTTAATTCCTCCTCTCACTACTAAACAAGATAAGGGATTTCTATGTGACAAAATAAAATCTGGGACATCAGGCAGCAACACCGCCAACCTGATGGCACCTTTTTTCCTTAGTCAAAAAAACAGGCAGCTATTTCTGCTACAACCAGGGTGGAGGCACTTCATCCCTTAAGACCCCAATAAACCTATTGTGTCTCATTGTCCAGGCTAGCTAAGGGTGATCGAAAATGGGGTTCAACAACATATAGAAGGTTACATGTTTTCCAGGTCTATGCTATCTCATGAGAAAAGTCACCTTTAGTTAGGCATATGAACTGTTATAATATGGAAACACCCCCTTATACTGCAACTCGTGGACGTTACCTTCTTGGGGTGGAACCAAAGCATGGATTTGCTTAATTTATTCACTAATACCTGCTTACCTTCATAGCGTGCACCACGGCTTCGGGTTTCTGGCTTATGGGAACATATCCCACTGCAGGAGAAGCATTCAGATCAGGAGTCATACGAACAGGGCCCTGTAAAAAAAACACAACAGAGAATGCAAACAATTTTAAGAAGATATTTATATGAATAAGACTAACTTCCCATACTTTCAAGTGGAGGGGGGAAGGGGGGCAGTAGAGTCAGCAGGGAAAGAGAATATAGCACAATTCCTTCTTATTCAATTGTCCTGGTACCAAACACATCTACTCAACGGTTGAAAACCTTCCTGCTGTTCTAATCCCAAATGGTTCCGTTCTGATGTGACTTTAGCTATTTTTTAAAAAAGCAGGTTTATCAATACCAAAAAATCTGTACCAATGTACAAAGTTTTAAACATGGAGCATGGCCCTCATTTGTTATGGCGTATCAGAACAGAGTTTTTAACCATAAGAAAGCAAATTAACCTCTCACATCATGCACACCGCTGTAACGTTTACGAGGAAGCGACAGACTGGCTGACAGTGTGGGTAGGAGAGAAATTGTTGGGATCCACTTTACAGGTTGCATGGCAACATCTTTTCAAAATGCAACAAGTTCCTTTCAAGGAAGGTTTTGAACCCAAGCCTTTCCACAATGTTCAATCTAGTCCTTTGACATCTGGCATCCTATCAAAAAGACAGAAATGCTGCTTTCATAGCAAGGAACTTGAGTACTCAACTCATTCATTGTGCAACCTTTGATATGCATAATCCCTTTTAAGGTCTCTTCTAAACAAGGTGAGATACAATGTCCTGATCCTTTCTGTGATTTGTCCATTTGTGCTGTGTCATTCAGAGAAACCAACAATGGGTTCATTGAAAGGCTCAAAATTTTGCCTTTATGTTTGTGGGCAAAACAAAGAGAGATTATCCAGTTGGGCTAGGGAGCTAAATCCAAATGACAGAGTGGTATGTGACATCATTATAGGTAATAGGCTGGCTATGCAGAGCACACAGATACTTATTACAGCCTTCTACTTTGATGATCTTCCTTATTTTAGAATTTCCAAATTGGAGACAAAGCTGGTAGATGTAATTTTTAAGATTTTGCTGCTCTCTATTGGACGTGGTGGCGCTGCAGGCTGAACCACAGAAGCTTCTGTGCTGCAAGGTCAGAAGACCAGCAGTCGTAAGATCGAATCACTGCAGCGGAGTGAGCGCCTGTCACTTTGTCGCAGCTCCTCGCCAACCTAGCAGTTCGAAAGCAGGCAAATGTGAGTAGATAAATAGGTACCATCTCGGTGGGAAGGTAAAATGGTGTTCCTTAGTCACGCTGGCCTAGTGACAACGGAAACTGTCTTCGGACAAGCTCTGGCTCTATGGCTTGAAAACGTGTCCAACTCCCTAGAGTTGGACACGAGTGGACTAAGAATGTCAAGGGGAACCTTTACCTTTATTCTCTATATGTTTTGTATTCATCTTCCCTTCCAAGCTCACCAGCTCTCAGACTAGCTACTAGCTGAATTCCAACAAATGAGAAAATGTAGCTTTCAGTCACATGAACAAGCTGTATTGAGCTTTTAGCTCATTCTTCTTCTGCAGCTATGTGGAAGAAACAGGAAACCTGTGATTTCATATGTAAGAGGAATATGCTCTGTTTGAACCGGAGCATGGAAGTTGCTAGGGGTGTGTTCGTTGAGATTTCTGGATTTCATTTTTGGACTCCTCCAAGAATTCTGGAAATTGTGGCCTAGTTCACTCCAATGTAACTGGTGAATTCCTCAGTGATATAAGCCATTAGTGCTTCCCTTTGCTAATCAATACAGCCACATCAAGGTGCAGAAGGAACTAGGTTTTGACTCGGAATCCCTTTCAAGCAGCCCCCGAAGTGTGAAGAAAATATGCTGAGCTACAAACAAAAATAGTGTGCCTTATTCTAGCACTGAAGGATCAGTGGCCAAGAGCACTGTTGGATGTGTGAGAAGCAGTTTGCAGCAGTGAGCTGAAATACATGGCATAGAAACACTTTAGTGGGTTTTTTTAAACATACTGATCACACTTCACAAATTATGCAAGGGGATTTGCCTAATTTAGCTGGGGATGGATAGCTCAGTCAGTTAAGAGTGCTTGAGAGTTTGATTCCCAGTCACACCTCGAGAGAAGCTTCTGCAGCCTTGGACAAGCTGAATAGTCCAAGAGCATCTCCAGAAGGCAAGATGGTAATCTACCTGAGAGTATTTCATACCTAGAAACCTCTGGCAAGTCTTGCCATCAGTTGGAATGATGTGACTGTTATTTATCTAATTTAGGAACGAAGTGAAAATACCATTTTGGTCAATGCTGAAGCTATACTTTATTTCACACAGAAAGGAACTTCACAAAATAGATATACAGTGGTGCCTCGCAAGACAAATGCCTCGCAGGTCAAAAAACTTGCAAGACAAATGGTTTTGGCAATTTGGGGGGTGGTGGTGGTGATGACTCGCAAGACAAATGTTCGTACGGCGTGCTTCGCAAGAAGAATGTTTTCCGTTCTTTGTTCCTGCCTCATGTTTGCTGATTTTTAAATGTTTTTCTATGATGTTTAAAAAGTTAAAGTGTTTTGATTGATTTTTTAAAAATCATCTGCACAATATATATGGCTTTAAAGAGCACTTAATAAACCCTTTGTAAACCAAATTTGAATTTGTTCTGACTTTTTTTTGCCCATAGGTACGCATTTATTAGATTTCAATGCATTCCTACGCGAAAACACGTTTCACAAGATGAATTTTTCGCAAGACAACATTAACCGGGGAACAAATTAAATTCATCTTGCGAGGCACCACTGTACCTTACAGAAGCTTTACTTGTCCAGCACTTTGTGATAGTTTGCAGTAATGCTACACCTCCACATAGAAAATAGAGCCAACCTTTAGAAATATTCTCCCTCCCCTGTCCAAATTAGGATGATCAAATTGCTGGCATAACTAGTGGCCTCATAAGGAAAAATGGTTAAGAGAACAGGAGGATGAAGGGGTACTTTCCCTCACTCATGAGAATACCTTTCTTGACTGGCAGGTTAACTTAGCCTGCACTGGCACTAATCATTATTAAAATCTAACTGAATGCTCCTTTTCAAATAAAAATTGAAACTAGTAAAAGAAAATCAAGGGTTTACCAGTAACCCTTGTTAGTGCTACTTAAGAGAGTACTATCTTTATGGGAGAAATGTCATAGTCACTCCCAAGCAGAGAAAGACCCATTGAATGAATGAAACTTGCAAAGTCAATATTCATGTATGTTCCATTGATTCAGTGAGGCTACTTTAATAGGAATTAATTCAATTTCACTATATGTCTCCACTGGGCCAAACAGACTGAAACCTTGAAACTGCTTAGGACTACAATGGCATTTTCCTCATCCACTGCTTCCACATATCAGTGTGTCTCTCATACTAAAGAACTATTTCAACATATTTACAGGTTTAGTACAACTAAAGAGAGTGTTAAGAATAGAAGAATGTGGAAACAAAGCTTCCCCACACTCACGGCTACCTATAGAACAGAATAATACTGATGATTAAGAATAATACTAACATTACAGAATAACAGTATAATACTAACATTAAAGATTCAGAGCTCTTAATCTTTAATGTTAATTCTAATTCTCTTACTTTTCCTCAGTTCATTTTCCACAAAACCTGTACACCTTTCTAACTGCAAAACTACCATCCATTGTATTTACTAGTACTCTAAACACATTAATTTGTTTCAAAACAAGAATAAAAGCTTTCCTTATGGTTTTGCTTGAAGAGAAATAATTTTTGTCTCAGGAGATTCTATGATTCGGACACACTCACATCTTTCTGTGGAGCTCATATGCAGAATGTATTTTCACGTGGTTTTGAACAGATGCAAAAGTCAGGCAAGGTTGTGCAAGTGTTACTTATTTGTGACAAGCACAATATGGAAACAATTTCAACGATAAAAAGACGCTAGAAAATAGAGAAAAGTACTCACGTGATCCATACACAGAAAAAAAGTTCTGGGTTGAGTAATGCCTTTTGATCACTAAAAAGTCACAAACTACTACTTTGCAGTTATCTCATAAATGTATTACTCAATCGAAAACTATGTTTAAATGGCTATACAAGGCAGCAGATTTAAGTGTATCTTATCTGTCTTCTACCACATTTTTACCAAGAGGTTGGTTTCATTCTATTCTGTTTTGATCTTAGTTTCTTCAACTACATGATGGACTATAATTTAAATAAAAGAATGTATTAAAAGTGGGACTGTGCAAAAGAGTGTGTTAAATAGCTATAAAGGTTAATGAAATAGCTCTAACTTTTTTCACTGGTAGTGTGGTAAAAGATATATCTTCTTGAAAACGATACGAACCTGTGAATAGTTTGAATGTGAAAGTTAGCCTTTCAAAGCACTTGAGCATGTCTCAAGCACAGGTGGATAGAAAATGAAAGGCACACTGCATAGTGGGGGTGAAGAATTATGCAGTCAATACATTCCCCCATGCAATTTTTCACTTTCAGCATAAGAATGAGAAAAGGTTTCACTGAGGTTTCTACAACTGCACAACATGTCCCTACACAAAAATATAATCTTTTCCTTTTGCGGAGCAAAGCACACACATACAACAAGCACAGAAGGTTCACCAGGATGACTGAGTAAAAGATGCAAACAACTCATCCGATGCTTCTAATTTTTTAGAAAAAAAATTCAATGCAAGAAGATTGCAGCTGTTGCAATTTTTTGGGCAACTGCACAAGATGGGAAAAAGTCTTTCTTAAAAATGTGGGAACTCTTAACTGACACTGGTAGAAAATACCTTGCCATTTTGCACAACAAGGAGAAACACCTTATGATTAACTGTGCACTGATTGTCTATGTGGTCGTACTTGTTCTTGTGTTCTTTCCATTTACACTTAGCGTGGCGAGAGAGTTGCGACTGCTGCTAAATATTTTTGCACAATTCCTAAAATTAATGAGCTTTAGCTGGTGAAGACACACAAACAGTTAACAGGATAAATTACCCTCACATGGAGGATGGGATATTTGTCTTTTGAAGTAAGTGATATGTCTCTAAGACATCTCCCAAAAATTATGTTAACCAAA